GGTGGTCCACGGCTCAGCGGCGCCTCTCCGCCGCTGTGGAGGTGCCTGTGGGAAGGCACAGGGGAGGGAAGGGAAGGGGCGGCACAAGCCGAGCACCAGCGCGGTGTGGAGGATCCGTGCGTAGAACCGCGCTGTTTCACAGGGTGGTCGTGAACAGTTGGCAGCAAAAGACTGTGTGTGAGCCTTGCCATCAGGGACAGGCACTTCCCAGGCGTGGAAATCCAGAGGCTAGGTGTTCCTGCTCCGGCAGGGGGATTGGACTGGATGATCTTTTGAGGTCCCTTCCAATCCCTAACGGTCTGTGATTCTGTGATTTTGTTACCGCAGTCAAAGAAAGCAGAGCTCGGTTGATGCTGGGCAAAGGAAAATTGTCTCTCTGCGAAGCTGCCACACGTATTTTGCATGTACTGATTGCATTAGCATTTCTGAGAGCCTCTGCTCCTTCCCTGCAGCGCAGAGCAGCTCGGTAAATGGGGAAGGAGAGGGGAAGAGCACTGAAAGGGGCAAGGTGCTGACATTTGGAACAAAAGACTTTCCAGGTGAGGAAGCCAGAGCTCAGCCTGACCCTGAAGAGCCTGGGCAAAGCAGGAGGCTGTGCTGGTGCTGGAGATGAGGTCCTGGGGCCCAAGTGACCCTGTTGGGCTGGCTCTTCCCTGAGCATCTTTGAGGCGCTGTGGCTTTGTGCTGATCTTGAGACCTGCTGTGGTTTCAGCCCACTGCTGGAAACATTGAAACAGGCCTGCTGATTGTATCCACTGCTTCTTTAGGGGGTAAAATAGATCCCAGAATAGTCCTGATTCTTGCTTTCCCCAGCCCACTTACTGTAAATATACACCATTGTCCTGCTACCGTGCTGTACCCCAACTGGCTGCTCCCAAAAACTCTCAGGAGAAGCCAGAAATGGGAACTGATGTTCGAGGTACTAAAGAAAGATAGAGGATTTAATCAGTGTCCAGCTGCTCAGCTCCAGCTCCAGCCTGGGCAATCAGAGCCTTCGATGCTGCATTGTTGGGGAGCTCTGCTCCCTGCCATGAGCTGGAAGGGGAACGTGTCTGGTAGACACAGACCCCACAGTCCTGTGAAGCAGGGGGGTGTTTGTAAGGCAAAAAAGTTTCTACACATCAGTTCTGCCCTCTCCAATGCCCAGCCTGAGCGATTTGTTCACCGTTCCCCTGCCTCTGAAATGCCAGGTGGAGCAGCAGGTTTGTCTGTAGAGGTTGTGCTGTCACATCTCTGCATCCACCCTTGCTCCTTCCACATGGTTTGGTGCCTGTGGCAGCAGACAAAGGTTTCCTGTGGTTCCTGCAGGCAGAACAACGCAGGGGCTCTGAGAAGTCACAGGATCCTCGTGCTTGGAGATGGAACAAGGTCCCAAGAAACCCGATCCAAATGGGATCTCCTCTGAGCAGGATTACAGACCTCCAGACTGTCTCTCCCAACCACGATTATCCTTCGATTTCTTCTTGTGTAACTGCAACCACCACCCTTACAAAAACAGCCCAGCGTGAAGGTGCCCAGGAGCCCTGGCTCTGTCCCCGCTAAGGCTGCGTGCTGTGTCCTGAGAGCCAAACAGCCCCGTGCTGCCTCAAAGGCACCTGAGCAGTGAGAATTCGGGTTCACTTATTCCCCCCCGAACTTCGGAGCCTCCCCATGGGCCACTTCTGCTGTGACCAGCCAAGGGAAGCACTGCTCCTGCCCATGTGTTTGAAGTTCCGGTGGAGGAGGCGTGAAGCAAAGGCCCTCAGCTCCCTGCCTGTAGCGTGCCCTGATGTAACACGTATGTAGGGCATCAGCTTGGTTGTAGTAAGCCTGCACATACTGATTTAGGTGGTAACACAGCAAGCAGGGAGAAAGATCCTGGTCAGATGGTGGGGGAGAGGGACACGAACCCTCTGCCTGGCCCAGGTGAAGTCCATCCCAACTGCAAGTCAAAAGCTAAGAGTGTTGCATCAACACCTACCTCGATACCACGCACCAGTCAAATTAACTTGAGATGAAGCATTCGTTCTTGGCTTCGTCCATCCCCTGCCCGTAAAATCCTGCTGGGTGGCACAACACCACAGTGCCAGCTCCCAGCCGTGGTCCACGACGGTGCCGAGCTGGGCAGGTTCAGGGCTGGTTGCTGGTGTGGGGTTTTTGTCACAGTCCTCTGGAACTTCTCAAAAAAGGAAAAAATGTACAAACCCAAGGGGTTCTTTAGCCAGTTCTTAACATTCTTGGGTGGGAGCTGTCTGGCATTGAAAATTCTGGATTTTAGCATTTTCTCCTAGGTTATTTGTGGAGCAGAGCTTCACTCCTAGTGGTCTGTCAGAATCAATACCAGCTTCTTTCCAAGCAGGACATTTGGACCCTTTGTTTTACCTTCAATAACCTGTAAGTTTCCTCACCTCCAGCTATGCATGGACGCAGAAGATTTCTATAATTCGAGCTATTCTATTTATACAATTTTTAGCTAGAAAAGCCAATTCCTCTTCCAACCCTCCAGCACACCTTGTCCTGTGAAGGCGGTGATGGAGTCTGCTGGCTGTTGTCAACAGAGCCGTGTCCTGCTGTGACCCAGCTCTGACGCTGCCACCTCAGTCTGCTCAGCTTCAGGACCACTCACTGAACATGGGGGTTTTCAGCACTAATCCTTTCTGGAGCTGAATCCCCCAGAGACCTTTGCAGGAGAGCAGGGCTGCTCAGGGAAGGGAAGGAGAAGCTCCTGACAGCTCCAGGGTCTGTACCGGAGCCTGGAAACTCCACCAGAGGTGCACGGGGTCAGAAAGATCCACCTGCAAAATCAGCGAGTGCTTCCTCGTGAATACTGCGCTCTCCCAAGTGATGGTACCTTGGTGGTTCCTCAGGTATTTCTCACTTGCTAAAGAGTGACAGAGGAGTTCATCCTGAGGGAGATCTGTCAGGAGAAGCTATTTGAAATCTAGAACAACAGGCGAGGTGTTTGCAGGGGACCATGCAATGGGGAGAGCATTCAGTCACCCGAGGGGCAGGATGTTGCAGTTTGTCTTGAAATCAGTGAAAAGTTTTGGAAAGGGAAATGAGGGTATTTTGTAGCCACACCATCAACAGATGAATCAACGTTCAACCCACATTTCCATGGTGGACAAAGGAGCTGTTATTTTTTGCAACTGCAGGCTCTATTATAACAGAGAATTCTCAGAGTCTTTTCCTCATCTCTGTTGCCACGCTCTGCTCAAGCGGATCTTGCAACAGATTCACTCCCAGTTAGCAAAGTCCTCCAGGCTTGATGGGTTTTTGTGCCGTGGATCTCAACAGATGGAGCAGTTGTGTTTTACCAGCACACGGAAGCTGCAGGGCAGAGGCACAGCTGCAGGTGACTGCCTGGTCTAACACAGGGTCTGTATGTACCCTCCATGGGGTAGTTAGACAAACATCTTCAGGGTAGAGAACAAGAAGCTAAATTCCCACTGGCTCAGGAAATATTTTATTCTTTATATTTTCATTAAAAAATAAACATAGGAAACAAAACCACAGAACACTTGTGTGATAGAAACAAACGCAGAAGATCAGAGCGTTGGCTGAAAGTGCATATTTAAGTCATGCTACCACATCCCTGATCCCACCCTGTCCCACAAGCAAGGAGTCAGCAGGACTACACGGAGCCCAGGCACTGCGGGGGCCAAGCTGACGGCGGAGGAGAGCCCCTGCTCCCAGAGACGCAGCACGGCAGGAGACACGCTGAGGAGTGCTCTGGTGAGCCGGCGGTGCAGCTCTCACCTGGGGCTGTTGGGGCAGGTGAAGGACAGTGTAGCAGGATGTGGAGTTACGAGGCAGGGGAATAAACAGCTGAGAACAAAGGGCAGAACAAAATCCTGGGTGCCACTCCAAAACAGCCCTGGAAGCAGAAAGATCCTAGCTAAAGGAAAATCAACACCATGAACTTGACTGCAAGGTTGACGTGCGTGCGCTGGACAGGTCTGTCCAGGGTCGAACCCCAGTCACTCACCAGCAAGATCTACAGCAACAGCAGCAACCGTGTCCCTGCTCTCAGGGCCTCAGCCTCTGCAAGGTGACCTCCCTCCCCACAGGAGTGGGAGCAAAGGCACTGCCACACCACAGCAAGGCTCCTGCTGCCAGAAAATGCAGCACTTTGCAGCTGGGTCTGTCAAGCTTTTTGATAGAAATATGATGTGGTGAACCTTGCTGAGCCCCCTGATCAGAGCACAAATGCTGCAGACCTTCTACACCAGGCAGGGAGCTTCTCCCCCTCCCTTTGCCCCCTGCAGCCTCAGGCTTTTGGGTCTCAGTAGTTGACAGCTTTAATCTGCGACTCCTTTAGTGTGCAGACCTGCGAGGAACCTGCAGACGCAGACACAGTGCAGGACCCCCGAACTCATGCTCACTCAATTTGGCTCTGCACAGATGCGTGCTTCAGGAGCATGTTTAAACATTCAGTATGTACAAGATGATTTGAAGCTGGAACGTAAGAGCAGCTGGATTCACCCTCACACATCCACATGGCTGAGAGCAACCAGAGGACCTGTGTGGTCCTGCAGTGGCTGAAGAGACCCCCCAGTTGTATGTACATGTCCTTAAAAGCATTCACCAGGTTGGCTGATGCCAAGGCTGGGGGCATCTCTGCTCTGCCCATAGACTTAGCCACAGGAACAGCAGAGAATGCAGCTTCTCCTGACTCACTTCACCTTTCTCCAGCTTCACACAGAGCCCCCGATTTCAAATGACTGCTGAGATAACGTGTTTATGCACATGCTCTAGTCAAAAGCAGCACAGAAAGCTGCTGTTCTGGTGCCTATTTCCACAGCATCCTCAACTCTCAAGAACAGTCACTGCAAATCACTTGGGACTCTTCCTCCAGCTGAGACTTTTTAGGATGTTCTTCATTGTCAGTCCCCTCCAGATCACTTCTCCCGAAGGACGCAGACTCCAGCGTCACAGCGCTGCATTCCCAGGGACGTCACCACTTCCCAGTTGTCAATGATGGGATCGTAGCACTCAATGCTGCTCAGCAGTGAGTTGCCATCGTATCTGCAAGGACAGAAAGTTACAGGTGAGGGACGCTGCTGAAGGAAGAGGTTGAGGCATTCAGAGCCGTTCCTGGGAGGTCAGACAACTGCGTACTGCAGGAATGGCCTGAAATAAAACCACTGCATTAGGCTCCTTTGTGCTGTCTGCTGCTGCTCTCCTGCCTGTCTTGGCTCTGGACCATCACACTGCCTGCTTAGGTTGGGCATGGCGACTCTGTGGGCTGTGTCCTCTCATACAGCTTGAAATATGAATGTGAGGAGAGGCCACGTGAAACAGGGCAGCAGGCTGCATCACCTCGCTCACTTGTTCAGCAACCAGACACGCAGAGCATCTCCCTCCCCGGCCCAGGGCAGCCGCTTACCCAGCGATGGCGTACAGCCTCCCCCGCAGCACGGTGGCCCCCACGTAGCAGCGAGGGGTTGTCATGCTCGTTACAGTTGTCCAGGAATCAGTGCGAATATTATAGGCTTCCACAGAGGAGAGATGTGCCGTCCCATCGAACCCACCAACTACATAAATATGGTCATTCAGCAGAGCCACTCCAGCCCCTGCAGAGAGAAGATGGCACCGTTACCCCCATGAGCGACACTGGCAGCACCGGGGCTCGCTGTCACAAGGCTGAATTAGGGCAGTTCCTCCCCCTTCAGAGGATGTTTTCTTATGCTTGAATCTCCCACAAGAGCTGTCACAATGCAGTGTGACATGAAAACCTGTAACTCTACCAAACGCTGCTGAATCTCTGGCATAAGGGGGACTGAGCAACTGCAGCAGGGGCAGCACTGGCACCACGAGATGTTCACTTTGGCTGAAGGACACCCTGACCCCTGCATGGACAAGGCTCGCCCTGCTGGCAGGTATGCAGCTGGCATTCTGTCACCAGACAGGTTTCTCTGGTGTTTTCTCTCTGGTGTCAACCTGCCCCTGGCCATAGCAGGGAGAATGACCCTGCTCCGTATGAGGATGGAGAAGGGATTTCTTTGACAGTGCTCCTCTGGAAGGCAGAGAAATGAAAACTGGTGCCCACGGCACGTCACAGAGGCTTAAGGGGCCAACGCATCTGTAGGAATGGCTGTTCTCACAGTAAAAGCAATCAGTAATCCAGCTGGCCCAATGGGGAATTTATGACAACAGCAGAAAATAAACCTGTGCCAGCCTCTGTTCCTCACCTGCAGCCCCTTCAGGTGAAGCACTGTAGAACGCAGTAAGGTAACTGTGCACTCGGTGGCCTCAGACGCTCTTGCCAACAGCGGCTGCTGTTTCGAGCTACTTGTCAAGAGCAGAGCAAACCCTGTCAGGCTGATACCATCACACGTAACTCTTGCACTGATGAACATCCTGAAGGAAACAAGCTGCTTCCCTGCAGCTCCTGGGCACTGATCTGTTTCTTCCACAAACAGGGTATGAGAAATTTTCTGTTCCAGCAAATGCAACCTCATTTTCCCTGTCTGTCCCTGCCGAGAGCACCAAACCAGCTGGAAATGACCAGGCTGCCCCGCTGGCCTCTCTGAGAGCTTCAGTGAGGAAAAAAGAGATCTGAAAAGAGACCAGACCATGGCCTGATCAGGGAGGTGAGGTCCAGCAATGGCCAAGGTTTCTGAGGGGTGGCCTACCTCCAGAATTTGTCTGAAGAGATGAACAAGGAGGAGTCAATCTCTGTGAATAAAGGCAAGATTACTTTTAGCCCTGGTCTTTCTTGGAATTCAAAGACCTGCAAGCAGACAGCTCTAGAAGGAGAGCCAAAGCCTTGGGGCAAAAGAAGCCCTGCAAGGTCCAAGGTCACCTGGATGGATGGACTGGAACTGACACCAGGATGGAGGCTGCACATGTAACTGGTACGTAAGCTGGTAGTTTGGGGTGTTATAGAGCAGCAGCACAAAAACCCGGGCCAAAACCCATACTTGGGCACAGCCCTGCTTCAGACCTCAGTGCTCCAGCACTGAGGAAGGCACCTGGCTGAGCCAGTGCCGGGGTGAGGAGCCTCACCATGTTCCTGCTCCTTTGTGGCACTAAGGAACCTGCTCTGTGGGCTGAGGCACTGCAGCCAAAAGCCTCCAAGTCTTGTGGGAAGTTAGCATGGACCTGCGAAATGCTTCTCATAAAAGGTTTTCCCCTGGAACTCTTTGCTTTTGGTCTTGCCTGAAGCCATCGTCTCTGGTGCACACAACAGACCCCTTGGGGAAAGCTGTCCCATCCCTAAGCTTTCCAGAGATCTGTGGATGGGTCTCACGCGTTGCCTCTGACATAGAAAGACCCACAGATTTTACCACATCTTTGTATGTGAGGTCTTCCTGGATGTGGAAAGCGACCAACTCCTAAATCAAATCCATTCTTGGCATGTGGGAAATACTTTCCAACCCACACTTAACAGGAGTAGCCTGGTCACAGGAGTAAATATTTAAAGCTTGGGGTTTTGGTGAATACCACTGCAGGCACAGGAAAGTTTAAATGTTTTTAGAGCAGAGATTGGTTTTAATTGAGTAACCAGCACTTGTCCCTGAACAAGAACACTGCAGCAGAGAACAAACAGGAACAGTGCTCTCTAGGCTAACTGTAAAGAACATCTTTTGAAAGAACTCAAGAAAAAGCGACTTCAAAAGCACTTGAAAGAGAGCCTGTAAGCACAGCAGAACTACCTCATCCAGAGCCACAAAGCTGTGCAGGCACTGAGCATCCTGCCCAGCCACACTTGAGCACACAGGAGCTGCAAGAGCCCCACAGGAGCTGCTTTGAGAAATGAAGGAAAGCTGAGACAGAAAGTTATTCCAAAAGTAAGATTTAGGTGGAATTCTTCTCTTAGATACAGCTGCCAAACTTGAAGCTCAGATAGGGTGCCAAGCAGGAAAGACAGAAAGTTGTTGGTGGGTATTTCACAAGTGACTGTGCCGTATCTCAAGTCGTGAGGGTCACTGTTGCAGTGTGACACTGCTCTGCCACTGCTGCCCCAGGAGCTGGGCCCTGCACTTCACAGAGCAGGGTTCAACTGAGGGAGGGGTGGCCAGAGCACTCCTGCCTTTGCCGTGTCCTGTGCCGCTGACGAGCGCTGACTGAGCGAACTGTGCTGTGGTCTGCAGTCAAACTGTGCGATGGTCTGCAGTCTGCGCCTTGCTTTGTCCAAGCCGTGCACTGCTCCTCGTTATGGAAGTCACACAAGACTTCCTCTCCCTCCCTGTAACCTATACCCGACCCCTCCATTCCTCTATAGACATCTTAGCACGGGATGGAGACATGAGGCATGTGAAAATTAATCTTTCTCTTGGGGAGTTAAGTCAGTATATCCTAAAATCATCCCTTCTCAAAACCAAACCATGCACTGGGGCGAGTCAACATCCTGCAGGGCAGCAGAACCACCCGGCAGCGACTGCTTCCTCAGTGCAGCACAAAACGTTTTGACCTCAAGGCACAGTGGGCTCTTACCCGAGCGCTTGGTGGCCATTGGAGTGACGTTTGTCCAGTGTCCAGTGTGGGGATCATACCTCTCCACAGAATTCAGTATGTTCAGCCCATCGTAGCCACCTGAAACAAAATACAGGAGCAAACCATGGGTCTGACTTCTGGAAAACATTCTCTGTGGAGAGTAATAACAAGCCTGGTTCATCCTTAGTGCAGTGTTGCACTGCAGTCAGCACAGCTCACAGCACACTGGGGCTGGAGAACAAGGAGGATCTCTGCAGCCTGCAGTGCCAGACTGGGAGCCAGTTCAGAGCACTGTATCTCCTCTCCAACCAGCACAACCAGTTTAGCACCACACTGCCCAGAGCTGCCTCAGGTGTACAGCTTCCAAACCTGGGGCTGGCTCAGGCTCTGTGTGCTCCAGCCCGCAGCTGCCAGCTGATGCCATGAGGCTACAGAGTGTAGGCTGGGGTGTCTTCAAGAGCAGATTCACAAGAGGATACCAAGAAATCTCATTGTGCAGCTTCAGCAAAGGAGCAGCGTGCTGGCATCTGCCCCAGGGGGACAGTGAGGAAGAGGAATTCGGGAGAGGGAAGCAAAATCCATAAACCAGTGTCAATATCTGTGACCTCCAAGGAACAGGACTGCAATAAACGTGGGTACAGCGCTGGGCCTGCCTTTTCTGGTGTATCTACAGAACACGCGTACTGAAGCCTTCAGGGTGATCTGCCCTCTGTCCCTCTCACTGTATTCACACCTAGTATGGGCATCTGAAAATGAAACGAGTGCTACAGAAAGGAGCTGGAACACATAGAGCTCAGGATACACTTCAGGAGCACTACAGCCAACATTGCTCTGTGAGGAACAGCCACAGGACAGGGGGTGCATCCATCTGCTTCACCTTGCATCTCAGCCTCTGCCTGCAAACCTCAGCTGGCACTGCTCATCCCTCATGCTTCAGCTGTCCCTCAAATGCAGGCTGATTGCATCGAGTTTGCTTCTGACAGCACTTGCTGTAGGAACATGGCAGCTCCAGTCTAAGCCATTGCGCTGGTAACGGTGAGCGCAGGCTGCAGTCACTGTCAGAGCTGCACAGTGAAGTTAAATCTGAACTGCTGCTCTCCACAGAGCACCTGCACTGTCATTTCTGTACAAAGCAAGTATTTGCAGAATGGCCAGAGGATTAAGGGTACCTACCAAGGCAGTAGATAACTCCATTGGCTACAACAAGCCCTGCTCCTTCCCGTGCTGTCTGCATGTCTCCCAGCATACTCCACTGATCAATGTTCGGGTCGTATCGCTCCATACTGGTGTGACGTCGGCTCCCATCAAACCCACCGGAAACATAGATCATGTCTGCAATGTTAGACAGAGGTGGGCGAGTCAAGTATCAACCACGTACATGGAGCAAGGAGGCTCTCACAAACGGAGCAATCCTACAACACGGACTGCAAACAAACAGGCACCGCTGCAGACCTTGTCACATTCGGAGTCAAGACAACCCCAGCCTTCTCACCCCAGCTCACTGCATTAACCTGCTCCCAGACCCAATAAACTAGCAAACATAAAACCCATCCAGTCCTTAAAGCTGCTTCTTGCTGAGGGATGAAAGAGGATTCACACAGCCCAGTTATTTCTTTTCGTGCTGCAGAACCTACAGAAACATTGCCATGCCCAAACTCTGCCCACCACCACCATCACGTCAGCACCTCCCCAGAGGAAATGCTTACAAGGCAGAAAGCACACAGGTAGCAAAAGGAAAGATCCAAAAGCCTGGATCATCAAGATCAGTCCATTATACTGGAGAACATAATTCAATGCTTTCACAAATCTGCCAAGTGTCACCTTCAAAGCAGCTGCGTTTTTAACAGAGTTTTCATTAGAATAAATTATTAACCATCTAACATTTAATGAATAATATATTTAACTGCTATTAATTATTAAGAAGATATTCTAATATAAGCAGTAAAGCACAGAATATTCGTTAGAGTAACTGCTATTTTAATGGCTCTCACTTCCACACCAACTTTTTCCTGGCACGTTTATAACCATTTGTTCTTACTCAATTCTTACATTGCCCATTTCCTTCTTGTGCCAAGTTACACGCATAGGAAACAACCATATCCTCTCTTGGCCTTTGCTTTGTCAGCATAAGCAAGCAGAAGTGTTCCGGTTTGCTCAGTAAAGCAGCTTTCTTCTTCCAAGTCTCTCTTAAGAATGTGTCTCTGCACGTGCCTCAGTTTCAGCCCCTCTCCAGTGCTGGATGGTTTCTGCTGCACTTGGTAGGTACTCTCCTGTGCTCTGTCATTCACGACAACGTCCCCACCTCGAGAGCCTCCCACCCCATCAAACCTCACAGGGCTCCTTCCCCTCGCTGCACAGACACACGCCACAAGAATGAAGCGGAGGCAGAGCTGCTCTCAGGATACGTGGGCAAGTTTTCCATTTCTACATCCAAACGATGAGAAGGCAGAATTTCAGTCTCACCTCCTCCCTCGCAGCCATCCCACTCTGCACATACCAGCTCGGGGCATTTCAGGACGAGAAGTGAACAGGCTGTGCTGCCCTGTCAGTGCGGTGACCAGGACCTACCTCCAAGGGTTGTGGCTCCTGCCAGGCCTCGCCGCACGTTCATCGGAGCCACCGAGTACCAGATACCGTCCTCATCTGATGTGTAATCCAAGCACTCCACCGAGCTGAGCCGAGAGCGACCATCGTAGCCTCCAATCACATAGATCCGGTCGTGCAGGGACACTGTAGCAACGTAACGCCTCTTACGAGTGATGCTCTAAAACAGTAACAAGAATAAAAAGGTCAAGGAGAGGAAATAATACCAATAATGGATACCAGCTGCTGTTCTTCCAGTCTCTCTTGCTACTGTTTTGGAAAATGACCCAGTACCACAGAGGCAAACAGCTCTATGGGTTTAAAGGATACAGCCTTGGCTAAAAGGCTTAACAACTGTGTCTGCCTTGCTCTGCTTGTACTCTGTCTCTGCCATGCTCTCTTCTCATGGCCAGGTCTCTTGGTATAAAAACATTTTGCATTAAATGTCAGTCATTTACCGCCGCTACTGAATCTTTGATGCATCTTGGAGGTTTGTGTGCCTCCCACTGGCTCCCTGCAGAGACGGTTACTGGCAAAATGTGGAGGCTCAGAATATCTGATGAAAATACATACCTGAAGCTTTTAGCCTCCAAAAAAGAACAGAATTTTGGGACATCAGGTGATACTGGATCTTCTGTGATTAGCAGTATTAAAGAAGAGGCACACAGATAGTGGTGATTTTAAATTTGGGTAGAAATAGTCCTCAGTGCAGGAGTTCTCTCTTCCTTATCTACCCTTATGCTCAGAAACAATGAAACCAGAGAGATTGCGCAGCCTGCCTGAAAGCAGGACTGATTATTCCTGTTGACATTTCAATTACCACCACTAACCTTAAAGCTTGACACCCCTTCAATAAGAAACATGATAGGTCTCACTCCCACAACAAAGATGTGGGTCTCTGTAGGCTCACCTGATTACACAAACGACAGCCACCTCTTATACAAAGCTTACTTGGCAAATCTGCAAACGTGAAGCGGTTTCAGCGTTTGCTGTGTAAACTGTGGCAACCATAAAGAATTTATGTCAGAAATCCTAAGCAGAACACAAAGAGGAGCCCCAAGAGAAATATCACACAGCTGATGCTACAGGATCAGGGTTTGAACACAGCCTGTTCAACCCAGTGGTGGTCAAAAATGGTCCCTTACCGGCAAGAAACTCCACTCCTGAGTCTTCGGGTCGTACTTCTCCACAACATCAATAGGCGACTGCTGACTGCCAAAGCCGCCGATCACAAGCAGGACTTCATTAGCTCCTAGAGCAAAGAGGGAGAGCAAAGTCAAGTCAATCCCTTCACAACCAAAGGGCCACCTCAAGGGATTCACCTAAAGAAACACCGAGCCTTCCTTGGTGCAACCAGCTGGCTCCATCCCTGTTTTCATCGCCACTCTGAAGCAGGCACCCACCCTGGGTGCATCTGGACCCCCCCTCCATCCTCGGTGGGAAAGAAGAAACTCTTGAGGGTGTGTGGCAGTGAGACTGAGGTGTTAGGAGCTGGCTGCTGCAGGGCCCTTCCTCCGAGTGTCAGAGGCCTTTGGAGAAGACAACCTGGCTGAGGCCGGTGCTGCAGTTGGTTTGTTTCTATCTTCTTTTGTATCCTTTACAGTTTTACCCCAAGCCTCTTGGCACCCCATGAAAGCTGAAGGAGGACGGCCGCTTCCTGCAGCCTCCTCACAACTCGAGGTCTTCTCCCCTTGTTTGCAAGTGACATCCAGACCAGATGGCACCTTTGCTCACCATTTCACCGAGAAGCAACTCAGGCTGACTGAAGTCTGAAATGAATGAAATATTTTCCCCAGGAAATGTCTCTTAAGCCTTATGTATTTTATTTGACATTTCCCTTCCCTCTACTTTCTTTTCAGACATGGACCAGGATTTTTTTCTTATTTTCTCCCTGGCGGTTAAATGAGACTTGTGACCTGGAGAGATTTAACTTCCCTTGCAATGACTGCCTGAAAGGTGGGTTTCTATCGTAGTTTTAAAAATAGGTGAGCATCCCTGGATCCCTTGGGCCCTTTCTGTTACAACAGGGAGTTTCACTAGAGTTTAGAACTGACCAGCTTTTCATTGGAAAGGACCGAACACCAAGCAATAAAGATTTAACAAGACTCTGACCAACTGCCACCTCAGATGAGGGAGATTAATATAAAAAATAGCAGGGAAGAGTCATGAAAGAGCCCCAACAACAATTTGGAAAGGCTCCTGGACAGCGTGACAGCTAAAAGAGCAATCCTTTCAGTTTATCCCATGGAAAGTTAATACACACCTTGATCACAGTTTGTAAGTGACACAAGATAAGAGCATTGCTGATAGCAGATGGTACTGAATCAATTAAAAAAACGTAGGGCTGAATCCAGAAGATGAACCTTAGCAATAAGGTGGACAGGTTTTGCCTGTATAATTAAACAATAAAACCATTTTGTGATGTCCTCTTTATCAGACAAAGAGTCAACTAAGAACAAAATGAAATGTCTTTCTAAAATGACAGGTTTTGTTACTGAGGCCAATGTAGGATACTCCCACAAAAACAGGAGAGCTGCTGTGGCCTGGACTGTGCTGGAGGTCAGAACACATCACAACAACATTCCCTTCAGGCCAAAAAGTAAATCTAATCAATGTCTCTCTGACAAACCTAATTTGACCCCCTCCTTTAGTGGATAAACTGCTTTCAGTCCCCTAAACCAGTGTTAGTAACAGGAATTGGCCAGGAAGGGTTTTTCAGGGTCCCTCTGCGCTACAGAAGCAGCAGCACTGGAGAACACGCAGGGGGGTTTGCTGCAGGCAGAGCAGTCAATGCTGGCACTGATGGCAGTGCCCCGAGTGTGCCTGGGATGAAGGCACGGCAGAGGCTGTCCAGAGACTAAGGCTGAAGATAAGAGAGGGTGAGGAATGGCCTCAGTCATAAGGAAGCCACTGAAATACTTCTCCCTTTTCTGTATGTCACGCCTACTGTTTATGTTGCTCTCAAGTGCTTACACCCCTAAGCCAAGCTTTTTCCCAACAATTCAGTGACTGCTTGGTAGGAGTTTCTGAAGTAGAGGAAGAAATCGTCATTGATTTGCCTTAACAAGACTAGAGGAGAAAGAAAAAGAAAGGAAAGAGGGTCCTCTCCATCTCCCTCCTTGTGCCTTCCCCTCTGAGAATCCCTGTTGAAAACTTATTTTCACTGTAACACAGCTGTCTCTCACCTCGCAGCTCTTGTTGTTTCTGACACTGATATCTGTCGTCTTAGACAGGAAGAAACTCTTCCCATGCTTCCTGGACAGCTGCTTGCTGAGACCAACGTATCTGGAGGCACCAAGAACTCAGGAAACTGGTTTTAGAGTTACAGCAGAAGCCTGGGATTAATGACAACCACAGAGTCCCCACATTGCCACTAAGCAACTGTGCTCTGAAAAAACCATACCTCTGTCCTTCGCTCCAGTCTCCTTTCTGTACCACTGGGGACTGACAAGTTACTGCTGCAAAGCACCTCAGTGCAGTATCACGGCACTTGACATGGTGTAGGACACAAAACCTGCCAATGCCCCAGACCTTCTCGGTGTCCTTTCCTTTGCAGCTCACCTAGACGTGCTCTGGTCCTGGGTCCTTGCATCTGACTCCGGAGCTCGGGCCGAAGATGAAATTTCTTAGCTTCATCTACGAGGTCTCTGCACTGCAGACTGCATCGTATAAAAGGCTGAGGAAAAACATCAGTCACCAGTACATATGTTAAGATCCCTCATAAGAACTGTCCTAAAGCCAGCTCTTGCCAGTTCAGCATTAAAAAGAAATGCATTGAAATGAAGCCTTGTGTGCAGGCTGTGGCTGGTAGTGTCATGGTACAAATGCTGCACGCAAGGAAATGCAAAGACAACTTAAGAAAGGGCTGCAGCTGAAAAGAAACAGCTCAGTTCTCACCCAAAGTCTGGCATTGCAGGTTCCATAATGAAAACAACTGTATTGGAAAACAAAGGAAAAGCCACCTCTGCTACATTTAAGCCAGCAGAAGTGGGTTTGAGAAGAGGGACTGGTAGTGAAACTACACTTGAGATCAGCTTGGCTGGATCTGTCCCACATAATCAACTCTCAGCATGCACCTGACATCAAAGAAACAAGGAGCACAGCACAATGAAGCTGTTTTGCCGGATTAGCTTGACCCCTGTGCACGTGGGACGTGGAGCTGTGAAAAGACCACAAAAGCAGCAAGGTCTTCTTTAATAGAAGCACTGCAGCCCATAGACAGTCTCATCTCCTCCTTCCAGAATGCTCTGTAATTCCCCTCCTGGGCTGAGGGCCTGGACCAGCCTCCCCTGAATGCTCAGTGTTCAGCTCCCTTTGGACATTTGCTGCTAAATGCTGCTGCAGTAAGTTAAGACTTATTTTTACAAGTTCTTGGTGCTTGTACAAGAAGGTCAGGGTGTTCAGAGCAGATGATGCCACATAGGGTCAATACTCTCCTCTCCATGCTGCCCTAAGGTGATGATGTCCCTCTCGTGTGTCACTTCCAGTATGGAGAGGCCACCCTGTGCAGTGAGAAAGCTGAGGCTTTGTACACACACTGTCCTAGGCTGGATTTGGAACAGATCTAAGTGTTTTGGTACCATTCCCTTTAACCTGAAACTGAAGCTAATGGGAAAGTGGACCATAACAATGAGACTGAACACATTTTAGCTCAGGCACAACTTAACTGCATCTTAGCTGCCCTTATTTAAGAACATCCCTAAAAGGCAGCTAAATCACATTAGAGATGAATGCTGCTATATCAGCCAGTTCTGTACGTAGAGAAGTCTGGCATTCAACGTTCAGGACCTGTCAGGCAACAAGGGCTAGTGACCACTGATCACCTCACATCACCACCAAACAAGAACGCTGCTGTGAACTTCGCTGTGCCTTCCTGTCAAACCCTGCACGGGTCAGCATCTTTTCCTGTCTGGAATTAAACCTCTATTGCAAAAGCTGAACTGTCTCTTATCATCGTACACATTTTGGTTTGTCTCTGCAACATCCCAGCCACACAAAGAAGCAACATTCGATATGGCTCCGAGTTGTGTGCTGGCCCTGGACCTACACAGCTGCTGTCCTCATTTAAAGGTACCTGCACCTAAAACAACTTCTGAGGAGCCTTTTCCTCCCTAGGATTGTGTGCCAGCAGCCTTCAGCCTAGAGAAAGAGACCTGCCAGTGCTTACCAATGGAAGGCAGAAAGCACTTGTTAGTAACTGTAACAAGAGACAACAGAAAGGTGCTATGTGTATCAGGAGACAAGTGACTAATTGCTCTGGATGGGACACCCTCCCTGCTGAAACACAGGACACTGTCACTGCTGGCACAGCAAACTGAGTGCATCAGTGGGCATCCAGCTGAACAGGGCCAGCTCCATAGTGTCAGTGTTATAGGCATAAGAAATTTTAGCTGGCTAAAGTAGGCTTTTGTTTTAGCAGTAGAGCTAAAAGAACTCTTTGACCTCTACAAAGTTAAGAAGAATGGACCATGGTAGGATATGTGTATACAGGTGCTTAGGACGGGTATAAGAAGAATGGGCCATAACTTCTCTTTTCTCTCAGTGTCAAAAATCATATGGGGGTAGTTCAATGTCTTATGTGGGGTGATAGCGGGGAACCAATCAGGGTGAGGAGTATAGTAGAAGGTGATCATTTTATGCATGCTAGAATGATTTTGCTATTGTTAGGAAATGTATAAATAGGCTGTGAAATTGTATGGGCGTTGGAGCACACCTTTGAGGGGCTACCCTCTGTGTTCCCCAGCGCTGCAAATAAAGAAGTGCCTGCTTATCTGCAACTGTGTAGAGAAGTTTTTCTCATCGTGATTGCGACCCCGTCAACATCAGCACCCAAAAGCATCAGCAGAGAAAGCAGCTTTTAACACCTCCTGTGAGGGCAGCAGGAGTCAAACCAGGGAACATGGCAACCCCAGACAGACCCTGGCTCCCAGCCGTGCCCGTGGCCCCGGTACCTCGGTGTCGATGACGTCTGTGATGTAGCGGGGGGTGAGCAGCGGCATGCGCACGTACTGCAGCAGTTCTGGCAGCGACGCTTCCCGCTCCTTTTTCGAGTGCTTCACCCAGTTTATAACTGCCTCGAAAACCGGCTCTTCAGAGTCCACCTGCAAAGAGGAGGCACAAACTGATCAGGACGGTATTTCAGCAGCTGCTGTGGATCAGACAACGTCCAGGCTGTTGGCACTGCTTCACAGCTAGCGAGAGGGCCGGACGTTGCAAGTAAGAGTTTGTTATGGAAACTCCCATGAGCTGTATTTGTAAGCACTATGAAATGCCCTTATTTTCTTTTCCTTAAAACTGTATTTGTTTTTTCCTTACAGCTAAGATCAACAAGTGCCAGAAAAGCGAGCTTTATGGGATGCAGCAGAGCCAGAAGCTGGGAGCCACCCCTGTTGAGGGAGCGCAGTGACAGGCAGTAACTCACAGGGCAGCTCCCCCAGCTCCTCAGCAGAGCACGAGTTACAGTCCTGTGAAATGCACGGTTCCACCATAAAGATGATCAGAATCACATTTCCTTTTTACAGAGAACTGTCTCACTTGAGCCTCTGCAGCTCCATGCCCGTGCACTGCCCCTTTAACACCTGAGCCATACCAGGTGCATTTATTTTTTGTTTAAATTTCGACCTACATTTAAGAAACTATAAACAACTGGATTTCAGAGCAGAGAACTCCAGGGCATGAATGTCACTGTTCTGACTAGTTTATTTCTCTCCCCACTTAGGATCAGCACGTGCTGCTGTTCACACCGCTTCCAGAGATTACACTGACTAAGCTGTCTAAGGTTCATACTTCTAGAGAACCTCAGGTGCTGTGGACATTCAGGATGACCAAAAGGGAAAGAACTGTAAAAAGCTCTATAACGTGTTATGTAGGCTTGGTTTTCTTTTTGCATGTCTTCAGATCACCCAATGTAAAAGCAAATCAGACATGAATATATTATCCTGAGGTCTGTTAACTGTTATTAAACATGAGGATAAAAGGAGATACTGTAATGAGAGGATTAGGCTGATATATGACTGGGGCACTTTGAAGTTCAGTTTGAAGCTGTCTGTTGCAGAACGTTCTGAAGCTGGGAGCCACAAAGGTTAATTATGTAAGGCAATTCTTCCACACCATTGATTTATATTTGTTACAGGCTAATTTGAAACGGTTTCTTTCTCTTTGAATTACAGGGAAACGACAATTAGAGTTCACAAAAGGAGAGCAGAATACTTTATTGTCTCCAATTTTCCCCACTTCCTTCTTAAATGCAATAATCCCACATTGTTTTATTCCCTCCTGAACTGACTGTCCTCTGATACATTTAACACTTTTATTGTTCATGAAATAATTTCCGTTTTCTGATAAAGGATGAGTAGCACTAAACACAGCATCCCAGTGAGGACCATCTCAAACATCCAAGGGATTTTCCAAGGGAGCTCCCTCAGTGCCCTCTGATCACAGAATCACAGCAAGTGCTGGGTTGAAGGGACCTTTACAGCTCCTCCAGCCCAACCCTGCAGGGAGCAGGGACATCTTGAACCACATCAGGTTGCTCACAGCCCCATCAAGCCTGGCCTTGAACATCTCCAGGGATGGGGCCTGCACCACCTCTGGGCAACCTGTGCCACTGATCGACCACCTCATGGGGAAGAGCTTTTTCCTCATATCCAACCTAAATCTGCCCTTTTCCAGTTTAAAACCATTACCCTTGGTCCTATTGCTCCATGCTCCAGTGAACAACTCTTCCCCAGATTTCTTATAGGCATCTTATGCAGCCCAGCACCTCTGCCTTGGCACAGCAACAGCCAGATTTGCTCCATTCCCCCTTTTTCAGGTATTACAATAACTGCACACCCCACAGTGTGTCTGCAAGGCCTGAACCAGCCCTTCCAACCCACACTGAATTTTACTTTGCCCATGTGGATCATCCAATTAATTTGGCTGAGTCATTCTCAAGCTCCTATTTCCTCTCCGCAGTCCAGAAATGTTATGGCAGTACCACAACCCACGTAAGCTCAAGCTCTCCCAGCACTAAAGCTGCGACTTGTTATACACCAGACACACTCAGCCTTTCTCCACCGCTGACCTCAGCCAGCGCCAGGGTCTTTCACTGTGATCCCACATGCTCCTTCTCTTATTAACCAGAGAATGTCAGCTTGGCTGAAGGCCACTTCAAGGCAGACTTTCAAGGCATACAAGGTCTCCTCTGGCTACCCCTGCATTGGCTTTTTCAGGAACTCCACCAGAGACATCATTTACATTGGTTTGCTTCTAAGAGTCCAAGGTACCGTGAACACGGAATCGTGATCGCTTCAGTCGCTTTCAGAACTGAAGCAAACACTGACTCTCAGCAAAGTCCATCTCAATTAAAAAAATCAAGTCTCCTCTCCGGGAATGTGTAACCTATGTCAATTCTCAAACACATACAAATTCACAGAAAATCTGGCAAAAAGCATTTGACAGGTCGCAACCAAATCGTAAATCCTCCAGAAACCAATCTTAAGGGAACAAAATCGCCGTGTAACTCCCTGAAGAGTCAGACGACCTTGCACCATTGTGCCTTCTGGTGCCTGCAGAAGTAGAGGACACCCAAATGCCTGGGATGGCGCACGCATTCCTTGTGCTGCTGAGTAGCATGCAAAGTACTACAAGTAGAAGTTAAAAGTCTTGGGGGTATTTTTGCAATGTGGGCATTAAGAGAGCTTGTCTTTTTAACCTCTGAAAGCTCCTCCAAGGAAAGGAGGGGACGAGAACTCTGCAGAGGTAACTAACTGAGACTGCTTTACTTGCAGGAAATGCTTGTGTGACAACAAATTCTTACACAAAAGCTCTATGTTACTGTTCAAGTTCAGATTACATGGCTAAAAATTGTAAGAAGCTTCTTGGAAATTAAATTTCAAATTCAGGAACTGTGTGAGAAGTCCACCCTAGGAGTATGAGCTAATTTCTGACTGGTTTCAACGCTTTACTTCAATGCTTTGCACAGTAACAGTACTTTTCAGGTTTTACCTGAATTTCATCACACTTGATGAGCTTTTCAACCTCTTCTTGATTTAAAAGGATAAACTCTTCATGCTGAACCACCTCTGGAAAATGTTTCTGGCTGAAGACCTCTGCAGCTTGCATTAGATCCACACAATTGTGTGTCTCAGCAAAATCCCGAATGCCCAAACAATTTGATGGATCCAGCTGGCTTTCTAGAAACTCACAGCAAGCTTGTTTCACACCTACGGAAAATTGGAGGGGTGAATGAGCACTGCATGCTTACTATCAGTCCACTGCTTTGGAAAGGGCTTCAGAAAAGAAAGTTCTAAACAATAATGAAAATCCAACTCAAATAACAAGCTTTAAACACAGAAACACACACATGCAAATACTTCTTTGGAGGGACGTGAAAACACTAAGCAGCAGATCATGTGTTTGGGCTGTTTTGATCTCTGGCTATTCTATTTAAATGCAAAAATTAAATCAATTTGATACTAGGAAAGGACTCAAATGTGAGTTGTACTCAGCTTCATGGGTTATAAAGGAAAACGTATGTTCTAGTGGATATGGCTAAGAGACTTCTGGGTTTTCTCCAACGTCTTTTTGGGAGTTGCCTGGGTTAGCTCCATAGGTGCACGTGCGGTGACATCAACCACTTTGTTACGACCCAGACCCGCTGCCACGACTGGCAGGTCAAATGACATCTGGGATTTGGTTATCATTCTAAACTGACTGAGCTGTAACGTGTATGTGCTACACAGCCCACAATTCCCCCTGGGTATTCTCACGCAGAAATGCAATAGCCCAAAGCATGGAACAATAACTTGGTTTACATCTTTTTTTCCACCCAAGTCAGCTCCTCTACCAATGAGACCACAGTGCACAAGACAACAGAAGAAGTTTGACGAAAGCACTTACACATATCATGCTTCCCACAATCTGTCTTCCATTTACAGAAGGTCAGACAAACCAAATCTTTGAGCAGCAGCGACTGTGTGATTTGTGCTGCTACTTGGCAGTTACCTTTCAGCTGAAGCAGACACGCCGCTGGGAGCAACTCTTGGACGTTTTCTACAGTCACATGAACGGTTTCTGTATACACAAAGTCCAGCAGGATTTCCATGGTGGAAGCTGTCAGTCCCTGGATATCTACATAGGGCTTATCTTTCTCTGAGAGCTGTAAATTAGAAGAGAGACACGGGTTTATTTTTCAGTAATGCGATCAAAAAGCCAACAGTGCTCAGCAGTTTTAAAAAATGTGACCTGTCAAAGAGGTTTCAACAGAGATTTGTCCTTTCTCTTCTTGTGCTCACTGAAAGAATATGGAGAAGGAGGGAATTTCCCTACTGAATTCACTTAGAGGGTGAGTAAAAGAGATCGAGTTCATTATGGGTTGGGAGGACAGTCAAACTGCATTATAAAATGAGGAAGCTGAGATTAGAGACAGCAGAAATTACTCGTGTCACTTGTGCAAGACAAAAAGTCTCTCCCCCAAGCTTCACTTCAAGAGTGCAGGGGAATTCCTTCTGTGGATGAGATGCTGCAGGTCGCATGGAGTCCTCACTGCACCACCGCGCTCTAAAACCAAACCAAATACAACCTTTCCTAGCTGTTCAATTCCTGAGACATTCTGCAAGGTTATGGTGAAGGTCCCTAAAAAGAACAACTACAGGCCAGAAGGTTCAGAGCTACAGGTTAAATGTGGGGTTAGCTTAAACATTTGAAAGAAAAACTGTAGCACATACAGAGATGGTACTTACCCAATCCTAGCTTTGCCTCCTTACCATCTTATCACCTCTAAGTATTCATTTTGGAACACTTATTTTTTCCAAGGAACGTTACCCTCTCAACAGTCAATCTTTGGGAACAGTAAATTCTGTGAATCCACCAAATTTGCACCTCTGTAGGTACAAAACTGAGATTCTACTTCACAAAGCATCAGCTCTGTGGTTTGACACATCCACCACGAATCTGCTGGCGCAGCACCTGATGACTCACAAACACTGGGCTATCAGGTGGACTCACTCATCACGGCCAGCACAGAGCAAACCCAACCTTTTTTCCCCATGACTTTTGAAGCGGTCTGTATCGGTGCAAGCACGATTCAGACGAAAGCCCGTGACTTTTCTTGCCAGGGAGACTGAAGTTGGTTACAGACAGATTGAGCAGAGACTCGGCGTACAGAAGGTATGATCAAAGCATGATCACTTGGCTCAGAATCTGCCACATTTGGGGAAAAGGGAGATGATACAGAAGTAGAGAAAATAAGAGCAGTCAAGAATATTCCTGCAGAGGCAATCGATGACAGAGCAGCAGAAGGGAAGAAATGTCTCCTCTGAGACGGAGCCACTTCTATGATGCAGAGGGACACTCTTCCCAGTAGAGAAGTGAAACACGGGAGGTAACGGTGATACTCAAAGTGATTTGAGGGAAGAGGCCTTTCAAGTCTGTTGATGCAGTGAACAAACTTCATGGCACCCAGAGTCAGAAAGGAACGGCAAATGACCTTGTCTGACCTGCTCTGTGATGGGCCATGCATTGCATTTAGAAGCTAAAAATGAGCTCCTAATTTGGGACAGACAAAACATTCCCAAAACAAGACTGAGCTGTTTGGTACAACAGATAAAGGACACAGATGTCACCAAAGATCAGGCCTGATCAGACAAGATGTTCACGATTCCAGCAAGCAAATGGAGATGTAGACCATGCATACTGAGAAGAAAGAGGATAACAAGATACAGACATCTACTGACAGGAGGTGACAAGGGCACCGGAGCTGCTGGCAATGGATGATTACACTGCACCAGGTAGAAGCTGCAGACAACTGTTCTTTGCATATCGACCTGCAGCTGGTCAAGAAGCTCCTGCCCCCACAACCAATATTCAATAATCAGCCATGCACATACTGTTTATACTGCTGACCAAAACACAAACCATGGGGACAACAAGAACACTGTAGAGATGATCGCTTCCTCCTTCCCTTCTATTTCTGCCACACTCCACTACTTGGCTGCTGTTTGCTCACAGCTTACTCAGGCTAAGACTGCTAAGAGGGAAGAAAATATTTCAGATAACTTCTCACAATGTGATGCAGAATAACTTGGGATCCTAGCATCACACCTTAAAGGAGGATCTGAGTGGAGATAATTCTGAACATCCCATGAAGCCCTGAGCTGAAGCTCCAGACTGCACATGCAGCGTTAGAGAACTGCACGCAGTGCTTAGTGCTGTGCTGCTGGGACAGAGAGAGTCCCTCTTTCATCAGTACATCCACATATTGGGACTCAGAAGCAGTGCAAAATTATGGTCATGCAATGCTAATCAACACAGTACAAGCAGCTTTCCTTTTGCAGGTGTCTGGTGGTACGAGACATACATCTCTGCATCGCTGCTGTTATAATTTCAGATCAGCGTATCAGAGAACCATTGCGTTGGAAAAGACCTTTGAGATCATGGAGTCCAACCACAACCTGTCCACCACTAACCCATGGCCCTCAGCACCTCATCTCCCCATCTTTTAAATACCTCCAGGGATGGAGGCTCCACCACTGCCTGGGCAGCCCCTTCCAGTGAAGAAATTTTCCCTCAGATCCAATCTAACCCTCCCCTGGCACAACTTGAGAACATTTCCTCTCATCCTATCACTTGTTACTTGCTTCCCCATTTGTTGTTTAATGTCAGAGTTCTGTTGACCAGCAGGAAGTAAAGCAATAAGGGACTGATAATCCCCAATACAAGCACTCTTCTAACACGTCACAAAAAGCATGCAGCAGTACAGATCCAGAAATCAGCTGGAGCATCCAGGAAACACATCCCATAGTTATAGTGAGTCATCTGGAGACCCAGGAGTTTTACCCCAGGATGCCCAAATTGCTGAAGCCTTAAGGCAGGGGTTGCAGGTCACAGCTCTGCTGTGAAACTCAACGTTGCTGTCTGCCACTCCATCCACAAATCATGCAACCCATCTCCCACCCAGAAGAATGGGCCTGAAATTTTGGAACACTTCTTGGTTTTGCCTTCACTAATGCAGATACACAAAAGTACATTGTAATAAACCCCTGCAATTTCTTCTCACATAGAGGGGAAAAGACGCGCTGGCATAATATAACGCTCTGATGCATTCTGGAAGGTGGTCACAGTACAGGGAGGATGGCCAGGAAAGAACCTGGAAACAGAGTTGGTTATTTTGAGAATAAGAGTAATATTTCTCCAAGTTCTAGGGGAAAAATTTCTAGAACATAAATTCAATTTCTAGAACATAACCTCCAAGAGAAGACAGACTTGTTTCTTTCTGAGATGGAGCCAATGATCAGCTAACACATCCTGAATTATATTAACTTGTCCAAACAAAGACACAAATGCCAGTGCAAAACGAGGATCCAGGGGAGCACTTGCTAAAACTGCTCTTCAATTTGCACTACAGGAATAACCCTGCAGGTAAAACTGATGGGTGCTTTGGTTTTGCCACGCTACTCCACACAGGGGCAGAGAAAAGGGTTGTCAAAAGCCAGGGGCTCAACAGTGGTTCTCATTCAGGAAAATAAAATGGGAAGAAATGAGTACTAAGTAAGATTGAGAGCTTTTTAAAGTAAACTTTAAAGTCAGAAGTGAGAGAAGGAAGGAAAATAGAGACACAGGGATTGCAAACACAGTTCTTTGTGATGAGAATCTCTGCTGACAGCCTCAGTGCTCCGCTGGCCGTACACGGCCTAACATCACGAGTGACACCGGGCATAACCCAGCATCAGTTCTGAACAAAGCCTGGCAAAAGCCACACGCTGCAGCTGGCCGAGCAGTCCCCACATCAGCAGGAGGTGAGCAATGAAACGCAAAGGAAGCCCTCGCAGAGACTGTCAGTCCATTACGCAATCCAGCATCTTGAGTTCCTCCAAGTCACAGCCATGGCCACAACTCCCTCTACCCACAAGTGCCTGGAGAGCGCCCAAATGCTGCCTCTTCACGCTCACCAGATCCCTGCTGCTGACACACAGAGGACGCAGATCCGCTCTGAGGCTCACTGAGCTGCCGTGTCCTGGACACAACGCTCTCCCACAGACACTCAGTGATCGTCTGTGCCACTTGGCAGCCTTGTCATTTGGGGGTTTCCACACAGAAACAGCAAATTTGGAAGAAATACAAACTAAGCAAAAGAAGTAAAACCCTTAGAGCAGCGGCAATTTGGGAGCGTGAGAGATTGAGCAATTGTGCCCATGAGCACTGGATGCGCTTATTTTTCTACGAAGAATGACATCTATGAAATAAGGTCACTACAATGTCACAGTGAAAATGAGAGTACAGAGAAGGAAGGAGAGACAACCTCAGCTTAGATCCAAACTATTCCAATCCTCAGCCTTTGTCAGCAGCCACAAAGAATATTCTGTAGCACAGAGTGATCAGATCTCTGCAGACTGCCCAGATCAAGTCCAAGGAGCCAAAAGCATTGACAGGACACAAAGAAGCAGGGACAGTCTGCTACACTGCCACACATCTTGAAGCTATTGGTAAACAGAGAACTTCGGCCTTCAGGGACTGAATTTGCTCTGTGGATTTCTTTATTACATTCCCTTTATGCAGAGAAAGAGCACAAACCTGACAAATATACAGATTTCATGGAGACACGGATAGAAAATACACTGGTATGTGGTCAGTCCACATACGGCTTTTTTTTGGTTGCTTTTCACAGGGCTACAAAAACTAAGACACCTGCTCATCCGACAGCACTGAAAGAACCTGGCACAGAGACAGCTCTGCCAACAGTGTTCACTGCTGGATAAAACAAAGAGGAAAATTATTCTCTCCTGCAAGGACTACTGGGCTAGGGAGGTCTTTAGGACCTTTCAGCTACTTAGTTATTATTCTTCTGCTAATGGGGAAGTTGCTAGGATAAGGAAAGCATCTTCTGGAAGAAAAAGCCATGAAGATCGATTCAAACTCATAAAAGACAAAGCCAGGCAAAGCATCTCATATTTAACAATAGGAACAAGTGCTAGATCTAGCTCAAATATTATCTTTCAGTGACTCAGAAAAATAGCAATGCAGGTAGTGCGAGTCAATACAGTGCCGTGAGAGCAAAGATCCTGCCGAGCGAGATCTGCCGAGCACAGCAACTGGGGCTTCTAATCTCACCCCCTCCCCAGTGCTAGAGGTTACATCCCCTTCGCAAGAGCAGCAGCACAACCCAACACGTCCCAGCTGATCAGCCAGTGTGACACAGATCAGAGCTCGACTGAAATACCCTCCATTGCAGTTTTAAAGGGCTGCCTTCATTCACCACCCAGTCTAAGGTGCATACCGCATCTCGCACAGTTTCGCTCTAGGGCTGGTACCCTTGGCAAGGAAGATGCCCAGAATCATTAAGACCACAGATCACCACTAGAAAAATCAGTAAATATATCAGAGCCTTCTGGTTTGCCAGCTCAGCCTGGCAGCACAGGTTGGTCACACAGCAAACAGCGATTCACAACCATGGTCACAACTGCAGCCTCCAACTCCCACCATGCCACCACAATAAAGGGCTCTGGGGCCACCAAGAAGAGACCAAGAATCACCATGAGAGACTCAAGAGTCACCAGGAGAGAATCCAGAGGGCTTCAGGGCCACCAGGAGGGAATCCTGAGCCACTACGACGGGCTCTACAGAGAGACCTAAGGTCACCATGGGGAGATCCAGGCCCAGCTGCTGAGCAGCTTGACAAAGCAGCCCAAGCTTTGGGCAGCCCTGCCTCCTCCACCCGCGGAGCACGCAGGGCCGGCGGCAGCCCGCGCTCTCGGGGCGCACCGACCTCGCTGGTGAACATGGCGCAGAAGTAGTCGCTGCAGGCGGCCAGGACGATGCGGTGGGCCGGGAAGTCCTTGTGCTCCACACGGAGGGTGACGTCGCAGAGCGTGTTGCTCTTCCGCAGGGCGTTCATGGCGTTGAGGATGGACTTGGCGTGCGAGTTGGTCATGATGTCCTTGGGGGGGGCCATGGCGCCCGGCACCTGCGGGCACAGCCAGCACGGCCACATGTCACGGCC